AAAAAAAAAAAAAAAAAAAAAACCAACAACAAAAACCTGTTTGCATTGCTACATTTCTCTTTGATGCACAGAGCCTTGTGTCACTTACATAAACTTGTAATAAGCGTATAGTCAAGAGTATATTAGTCAAATCTTGTGGTTTGTTGTTAGAGGAAAAGTGGTAGTAAAATAATGCTTACCTTGTCTAGTATCCATTCACTTTCTACATGTATTCCTTTTAAGAATGTAAGCATAGGAAAACATGCTTTTTCCTGTACTTTAGTCACTATAATGTATAAACATTAATTTGTAGTAATATTTTGTGATTACGAAGGTCAGTTTTAAATTTTTACATCTATGCTCAGTGAAATTAAATGTCATTGATTACCGGTAAGAATATGAATACCTACCTCTTTTATAGCACTTTTCATCAGCGGATCTCTAAGTGCTTTACAAAGGAGGTCTGTATCATTATTCTCATTTTACAGTTGGGGAAACTGAGATACCAAGAGGTGAAGTGACCTTCCTAAGGACACCCAGTAAACCAGTGGCAGAGCTAGGAAGAAATCTTAGGTCCCCTGAGTCCCAGTTCAGTGCTCTTGAATGTCTGGGTTCTACTTTAAGTGAACCACTATTAAAAAGAAAAATAGATTGCTGGAACTAGAGATGCATAGATTTTGATTTTCTACTGTTGCACTGCTGTTTCCTTCTCTTTCTACATTTTATTTTTCTCTCTTACAGCTTGACAACAGACTCCGTTTTACTAGCTCAGGAATCAGTTACCCCATCTCTCCGGTATGCGCTTTCCAAAACTTTCCAGAAACCGCACCTGTGAAAAGTGCCAACCAGCAGGTTTCAGGACCAAAGGCAGGCATTTACATTTACTCTTATTTTGTGCTCAAGACACACATTTCTAATCATATATTTCTGAACAGTTTGACGTGGATATGCTATGTGATATGGTTTTTGTGTTGAATGACAGCAAGAATTTGGCTATAACCACTAAATTATTATAATGGTAATAGTACCTGGCATTTTCAAAGCAGTTTACAAACCCTAATTTTCATAACTCTCCTGTAAGATATTTTCCACCTTGTCATGAATTCTCCTTTGAACAAAAGCTACATAGCAAATTAGTTGCAGCATTAAACCTAGAACACGAGAATTCCTGGCAGTTACCTCTGGTTTTTAGTCTAATATACCACACTGCCTCCCAAATGTAACTTCCCTAATTTCTATTTGATTATAGTAAATGTCCTACTGTAAACTAGTGAGAGAGAAGTTCTCAAAGTCAGCAAGATTCCCTTTTCAGTTGTTCCTTTGTATATCTTTGTGTTTCTTTATTCCTTACAGAAGTAGTTTGTAGTACACAAAACACTTAATACATTCTATACAATTTGGGATTGAAATTACTATGGCTCAGTGTCATAGCATCATTATTTCAGAGTATCCTGATGGCACGGGGTGGCCCTGCAGGCATCCCACTCTTTGATTCTTCTTCTCAGGGTTCCTCAAGAATACTTCTCCAACACTGTCTTAGGCTAATAACTAAGGCTAAGGTTTTTGTCATGGTTATTTGTAGTAAAAGTCATGAACGGGTCATGGGTAATAAAGAAAAATTCATGGAAGCCCATGACCTGTCCCTGACTTCTACTAAAAATATCCATGATAAAATGGGAAGCAGTTGTGGGGGGCTGGCTGGGAGCTCCAGGGGTCCCCACCACCCGAGCTTGGAGCTGTGGGGTCCCTCTGCCACCTGCAGGGTGGCAGGACCCTGCAGTTCCCAGCCACTGCAGGCTGAAGTCACGGAGGTCTTTGGAAGTCACAGAATCCATGACTTCTGTGACAAAACCGTAGCCTTACTAATAACACCCATGTCATGGAGTAATATATTAATAGGGGCACCTCGAATCACAAACTAAAGTTCAGTACCGTAACTCAAAAGGGTTGGGCTTTGCCACCACCTTAGACTCCAGGCTCTATTGTCCTTCAGACTAGAGGGCTCTCAGATTTAACTGTGGAATCCCCTCCTAGAGTTCAGACACTCAGACCAAGCAATAATGCAAACAATGGCTGCCCACGTTGGGCTTAATAAAAGTCCCATGTCCCTCCTGGATTCTATCTCAGCTCCCTGCCCTTGTACGTGAGAGTGGCCAAAGAGGTGTTTCCCTGGGTCTTCCTCTTGCTCCAGTATCTCCTTCTGCTACCCAAGCCCCCTGGCTTCTGGCCTGTCTTCCTATTCCCAGAGAGGGCCTGCAAAACTTTCTGCTCTCTGCAGCCTCTTCCTGTCTTTTCCTGCTGCTCTTTATGCATAGGCTTGGAAGGATCAGATTTTCATCAGTAAATGTCAATTTCCCCCCCCCCCCCCCCCCCCCCCCCCACAGTAATTGTCTGATTTCCCCCATACTTTGAAAATTTAAATTGATTACATTAAAAAAAAAAAAAAGCTTAAATGAACAATGTTATCCAGTGACATTGTTTTTAAAATGGATTCTGCTGAGCCTCTTTTTGGGAGAACACCTGTCCCCTGCTCAGCTGGATGAGGTTAATGAACAGGGCTAGCTTGGCCCCATCCTCTTAAAGGGGCACCCGATTACACTCAGCAAAAGGCTTATCTTACTAAAAACAATCAAACCTGATGTTTCAGAAAAAACACAGAATACTGAAGACACCAAAACTTTAAACAAAGGCTTTCTTGGGAAATATCAGCTTTCCTTTGGCATAACTGACTTCAATCAGATACTAGTCAGCCTATATTAGTGGGCTGTGAGCTGCTGCTCTACCCTAAATCTTAAATTTAACATTAACTTAAATATTTGAGAAGCCGCAACTATTTCCTGTTTTTAGTGGATACCAAACCATGTTGATATGTATCAGTAATTCACCCTGTGCTATCATACATACACAGCAGACTTGTCATCTGAATTGCATCTTTGTTTTATATCTATACTATTTTATTTGTTAAGCATTTGCTAAACATGGTGTGGAACCTTATTGCCCTGAAGTGCTCACAGTCTGATAAAAGTCCTCAGTCTATACATTTTCTTGGTGCATAGTAATATCTGGATCCAAAATGTTGAATGTGTGAAACCTTTGATCTTTTGGCAGGTTCAGTTTAACATGCAGCTTTCAAAAACTAATAAAAGTTCAGACATTCAGCCAGGATTTCCTATTGCAACTGGTCATTCAACAAATATAGAAAAGTGAGTATCATGATAATTGTGTCCATAGAAATTATTTTGAGGCCCAATTTTCAGAGACACCTCAGCCCAGCCTTTCTAAAATTGTTGGAAATTTTTTCCAAAACAGTTTTTTATGCCCAAGTTTGTGAATACACATTGTATTTTGTTCAAGTGAGCATGCACAGACTTACTCACAAAATAAACCTGTATTTTAGAGGCTGCTTTTGAAAATGTGGTCCTCTGTCCAAGTGTCTTTGGAAGTAATTTTTTTGTTTTATGAAGAGTTCTGAAGAAGCCATATTGCATTTCTAGTGAAATATTAAATTCTCGTTTGCAGATTTACCTATCTCCACAACAACAAAAGGCTTGTTCGGCTGTCAGAGTCAGTGCCTTTTTAAAGTAGTCTAATTTTTTCATTATTCAGCTCTCTTGGGATACACTACACAAACCAAACTTTGTCAGACAGCACTAGTGACTTTAAACATGGCTGTACCTGACCCCGTATTGCGACAATTCTGTTCTTCAGTGGAATTCCACAATAGCAGTGATATTGGTATGTGGGAGTATCAGCTTAATGGGGGCCAGCTACTCTGGAAATGGACGCCATAGTGACCTGAAAAGTGGAGTGAAGGCAATGAATGTTCGTTTGTCAATATGCTGACTGCCCTAGCAAGTCTGGCTAGTGATGGCATTCAGAACCTATTGCTTAAAGTGATGTGACTGTAATAATTCTATTTGCAGATGACATCTGGTTTCTTTATTCCAGTTTACCAGGGTGGTGCTGGAGTGTACCAATAGTGGGTGGTTTTAGAAATCATCCAATGAAGGAGGTAGGCCCAGTGGGATGAGTAAGTGAAAACATTAAGCTCTGGCTGCACTGCATATTTTAACTGCATTTAACCAGTTAATTACATGGTTAATCCCAGTTATAGCACTAAAGTGTCTTAGACTGGCAAATGTCTTCCTGAGACAAATTTTGCAAACGGTTTTTGTGGTGTAGATAGGACCTCCTCTAACTGTATCTTTTATCTCAGTTGGCTCTACTTTCCAGCTCTCCACTGCTCTGTGGGGGATGTCCCAGAATGCATTGCTCTGTGTCTGTGCCCTTTGGGAATGCTTTCTTCTGAGTCTAAGAGCACTGATCCAAAGACCATGTGGATGAACAAACCTGGTTGTCATGTGGTTTTGAGGTGGAAAACGCTGCCATGCAGACAACTGTCATATTTGTTGCAACTGGGCTGGATGAGTGTCAGACTGGTTACAAAAACAGTTGTTTGCTGTGTAGACATGGCTGGAATATTGAATCTATATAAAAGTTATGAAATAAAATGTAAACATTTTATGTAGTACTACGTAAACTTAACATTGAGTAATTGTCCATGTAGATCCCACACTACGTATCCATGCATGCGAAATCAGAATCTTTGAACAGCAGTGTCCATTGGAGCTGTGCTTGGCACTCATTATGTCCTCGTGCCTTCCCCATCTGAGGGCAGAGCAGTCCCATCCATCCCTCTTAGTGCTTGGCAGTTTGCATCACTGCCATTGCTGTTATAGTGGATTCAAAGCTCTCAGGCTTGAACTCCCTGTTCATTGTGCGATGGACTCATTCCCTGCAGAGACAGACATATAGCCATTGTTTATTCCAGGGGTCGGCAACCTTTCAGAAGTGGTGTGCCGAGTCTCCATTTATTCACTCTAATTTAAGGTTTTGCGTGCCAGTAATACATTTTAATGCTTTTAGAAGGTCTCTTTCTAGAAGTCTATAATATATAACTAAACTATTGTATGTAAAGTAAATAAGGTTTTTAAAACGTTTAAGAAGCTTCATTTAAAATTAAATTAAAATGCAGAGCCCCCGGACCGGTGGCTAGGACCTGGACAGTGTGAGTGCTACTGAAAATCAGCTTGCGTCCCGCTTTTGGCACACGTGCCATAGGTTGCCTACCCCTGGTTTATTCTGTTTAAGCAGAAGCCCCTTGTTTGACAGTTGTGCTATCTGCTTGTCAAGATGGAGAAAATCCAGGGTCAGTTGGCTAAAATTACTACTTCTGGAGCAGTCTGAGGGGCACTTCAGACCCAGAACAACAGGTATGAGGCTCTTCCACCACTGAGTCCCAGTCAGTCAGCACTTCTGTAAGCCAGAATGCAACTCTTTAAGACCAGTACCAGTAAAAGATCTGATAGGCCATCCACAACTGCCAGAAATCAGCTTGGCACCAAAGGCTGGTACTGCCTCCAAGGTAAGATAACTTGGAACACTGAACCAAACATATTTCCAGGCATCCATCTATATCTTGGGATCTAAATATCCTCACAGGTCTCATGAAGTCCCCCTTTAAACTCCTCTCTGAATGTTCTCACTACTTTACTCTCAGATCGCTTTTTTGGTGGCCATTACATAAGCCAGGTGGGGGAGTGAACTTCTGTCCCTCATGGCTCATCCCTCTCCCTTATTATACTGTTTCATCGAGATGCCAAACACTGTGCCTGGACCTGGCTTTGAGATCCGATGCCAAATTAGGAAAGGCATTGTTTAGTGAGTGAGCTAGGACTACTCATTCCCACCTTCCAGCTGAGGTACTGTTGGCCAGTGACTTAGAATGGGATCCACATGGACAAATAATTGAAGAAAGAACCTGTGGTTCTTATGTTTTGTCTGAGTAGCTCCCACAAGCACCCTCCATTCTTGCTCCTTGGAGTCTCCTCTAGACGAGAATCTGGATTAGTGAGAAACTGGAGGGATTGTTGTGACCGCCCTGCCACTTGTACCCCCATCTGAGGGAATATATGCTGGGTACAGGCATGATCCCAACAGACACTGCTGTTCAGATTACAGTCTTGCATGCACCATGGATTAAAATATCTCAAAAGTACCACAGTTACTGCAAGGTAAGTAACCATTACGTTGCTATTGTTTTAGCTCCTGCATTGATGATGTTATGGTAAAAACAAGTATTTGAGATGTCTTTTAGGTTGCTGCTGCTTCAGTCAGTCTTAATCTCTTTGAAGGGCCTTTACTTTAGGCCCTGAAGTATATTATGAGTGAGCTTTACTGCATCAAAAACACAAGCTTACAAAATTAGGTAAAAGTGTTAAGTTTTCCTATTTTAAGCATGATTCTATTTTCTTTTGGTTAGTGGTGAGAATTTGGGATTGGAATTGAAGTATTTAAAGAAAAGAGAAGACAGCATTCCTTTACGAGGTCTCAGCCAAAATACATTTAACTCCTCAGGTAGGAAGGGCAGTAGTTCCATGAAAGTAAACAAATCTCTTATTTCAAAATGCTTTCTGCTTTAAGAAGGTGCTACTTGTACCCCCCCAGAAGTTAATAGTGTTTTTTCCCCCCCTATTTGCAGAATATCCGAAATCCTCCACATCAACAAAAACACTAACTTCATCAAAACCCGGAATACAGTCTACAGTCTCTGCTTACTTCCCTGGATTGCAAACAACATAATCATTAGATGAAATCTTTTATTTTACCAACTATCGAAGATTTTGGATAGCTTTTAATTAAGATACTAAATACAATTATTACCCCTTAAAATGTCAGTCAAAATGTTATAGTAACTGTTTAAAATGAGTTAACTTTACCATACATTTGTATAATCTTTGGCTTTTGTGAAGAAAGCAAATTGATTTACATAAATATCAGTATACAATTCCAGCCAGAAAAGTAAAATATGGAGGGGAAAAATATTAACTACTTTAATCACATGAAAATATAATGCTACAAAATGATTGTTTAGAAATGAACATCTGGAAACCATTTCATATTCTACTACTGTAATCAAAGATGCCTTCGCTGGTGACTACAGTGGTGTACAGAACATAAAGTAAATTTAACTGTACTTACCACTTAGGCTGGGGTTCATTGGTGGAATCATGCTACAACCTGAGTGTGTGATCTTCCACTGAGTGTCCCAGTTACATGGAATTGAGAAGTAAATTTTTCTCTGCATCTTCTATGACCCATATTCTAATATCAAACTAGTAATTTAAAATGACAGTACAATTAGAGGGAATTTTCCAATAATATCTTGAACTCAATTTATGCCCCTAGCTCCTACAATTCTGTAATATTGTATCAGAATCTACTCCTTCTCTTTCCCTTAATGTTTGAGTGGCTAATCCTAATTTTGCACATTACTGTCCAAATGTATATTAAACACCTTGGAGTGTAAAATTTGTATATTTGTTTATAATCAGTTTGTATTTGTTTGTGTGTGTGTGTGTGTGTGTGTGTGTGTATATAGTTGCTTTTGGAAATGTATATGTTAAAGGAAATATTAAAATGGTTTCAGTAAAGATGTTTCTGGTCAGCTACAGTGGACTTAGTTAAGTGGAAACATATTGGGGGGGGAGAGAGGTTTCACTCACTCAAATATTTTAAAACCAGAATTAGAGCAAAGTTATTTCACTACAGTCCAGACCAGAAAGTGGTACCACTTTGCCAGACAGAGCTTCATGGCCCACTTATCAAGCTCCATAGTCCAAAAATTTAGGATTTACAAAAGCTACTCAGAACAGATAATTGAATATTTTTAGAAAATGACTAAATACACTTTCACGCAATGCAGTAGTATTAGAAATCAGTATGAAACTTGAACTGGGGACTAGATCCTTCAAAGGAACTTGGATAGTATGGCACCTTGCTGCCCAGTGGCATTCAGAGCCCAGCATCCAGGTGCCCTACACAATGCATGGGGAAAGTTTGAGGATTTACATCTTAAGGACCTGTCACCTAAGCAAGATTAATTTACTGTCACTGTTTGGTGGTGGTATAGGATGGCCATGACAAACTGTCTCACATTATCCCACTCAAGTCTTTAAAAAACCCCACTTACCTCAGACAGTTAGACCCAAGAGCAAGATGCCTGCACAGTTGCTACTTGTACAAAATAAATGCTCAAAGCAGCTTAGTAGCACTTTAAATGAGCAAACAGTACATTAGTAAAGTATTATACTAATGGCTTTTTCTTTTAATAAAAGGTAGCAGGAACTTCTAGGGGTAAAGAACTACATGCATAAAAGCTGGAGGGCAGGGTGTTTGGTGATCATGCAGCCTGAAAAGTTACACAGAGGCCCAACTTGGATAGTGCACTACAGCCTGAGTCCATGTATTTGGCCAGAGCTACACTCATGTGTAAGACTTTTTTAATATCACTTGTACACAGATAAATATAATCACTGAAATTGATTCCTCCATGTTAAAAAGAGGCAGGTATTTTAAATAAGGTAAGAGCATGCCTTGCTGTTTTGTCAATGTCCTTCCTTTCCTGGAGGTGGCTCTGATCCTATTGCTAAAGGTGATACCAGCTCAAGCCCTACCTGCAATTCATTTAGTAAAGGGAAGAGATGGTTTAAGCAGACCTGGAGACTGAATACAGGAACCAGCAGAGAAAGAATCTTATTGATCCAGTATTTGGCTGTGTACTAGATAACATTGTTTGATTCTAGTAATTCCAAGCCAGACACAGCACTTTATTTTCATCTGACTGGACTCTGCTTTACCCTAACACATTAAAATGCTGTTCTTTTTCAAGTGCTGTATCACATTTGATTGTTACTGATAATGAAGTTAACTTCACACCATCTGCTATTGTAGCAAGGGCATCAATGACTTTTAGCAAAGTTTAACCTAAACTAATTGCTAGAGGCTGCTGCTTGACAATACTTTCTACCTCTTTTTCTTATATCAAAGATTACTAGTAACTCCTTCTGCAGTGCTGTAGTCCAAGAAAAAAAAAATACTTGAGTATAAGTCCATCTTTTAATCAGAAGTAGCCTGCTTCAGGTATGTGGCCCCTTAATTCAGTGGTAAATGAGTTAATACCAAGTAAATTTAAGATTAGGGTTTTTACTTAATTTTGAGTAACATTCTTTTAGATGTTGCATGGCAAGATGGGTGCAAGAATCAGAAAATGAAATATTAAGAAAAGAGGTATGCCAGTAACATTCACTGAATGTATTTCAAGTTGCTCCAAAGTTAGTCCATGCATAAGTTTTGATTTTGGCAACATTGATACCTTTTGAGAAGTATTAACATTTGAATTAGAATTGATTGTATTAGTCTGCCCCTTTTTGCAGGGGAGATACATTTTGAATAAAACAAGATAATCAGTAAATGACAGGATCTTTTACTACATCCTGATTTGAGGCTTCACTTAAACTAGGTAGGCCCAGTCATTCCCCTCAAATATCCATATCCAAGTTTCCTATGGCAAGTAATGTGAGGTGCAGCCCGCCCACCCACCCCCACTCCCCTGATGGTATTCACTGGATACACATTCCCAATTATCCCTTCTATCACAGGGGTGGGCAAACTACAGCCCAGGGGCCACATCCAGCCCTTCAGATGTTTTAATCCAGCCCTTAAGCTCCCACCAGGGAGCAGGGTTAGGATCTTGCCCTGCTCTGCATGTGCCACAGCTCCCAGAAGCAGAGGCATGTCCACCCTCCAGCTCCTACACATAGGGGCACCTAGGGGTCTCTACATGCTGCTCCTGCAGCTCCCATTGGCCTGGAACCATGGCCAATGGGAGCTGCCGAGGCAGGGGCTACAGACAGGGCAGTGCACAGAGCCATCTGGCTGCCCCTCTGCATAGGAGCCAGAGGGGGAACATGCCACTGCTTCCAGGAGCTGCTTGAGGTAAGCGCCACCTGGAACCTGCACCCCTAATCCCCCTTCCACAGAGCACCCTCATGCACCTCCTCATCCCCAACCCCCAGAGCCTGCTCCTGCACCCTGAACTCATTTTTGACCACAGCCCACACCCCCAACCCCCAATTTCATGAGCATTCATGGCCCGTCATACAATTTCCAGATGTGGCCCTTGGGCCAAAAAGTTTGCCCACCCCTGTTCTATCAGCTCAAAGTTGATTTTATTGCTACAGAATCTGCCATACTCCTTTTTTCAAAACACACTGAGGCCCAGCTGTACATTTTACAGCATCAGAATAAGTATTCATAGCATAGGTGCATCACACTTAGGTTTAGAGCTAATCTGATTTAAGGTATAAACAGCTTGCTAATGTCAAGTTCAAAATTAATTAAACAAAGCAGAGCCCTGCAGCAGGAAAAATTGTGTTTGAATGCTTTTACATACAATATAAAACCTTTTTTTTTTTTTAGTAACAGCAGGGAATCTCTCTTGCAGGATCTAAGGTTTTTGTGGATAGAAGCAGGATAAAAATGCAAGAAAATGCAGGACCAGGTGGGAGTGGGTTGCAGGGCAGGACAGGAGTGGGATTAAAAATGTCCCATGCAGCGCTCTACTTGGCAATAAATTGCCCATTATTTTAGTTTCTTGCTGATTTAATACAATACCACTATTAAGCAAAAGCTTTTCATGAAAATTTTGCAGTACAAGGACAAATAAGCTATTACAGGTATGTGGGAATGAAAAGGGTAAAATTCACACAATTTACCTACAATTGGTATTTGTCTGTTGAATGAAATTACATTTAAAGCACTAAGGAACCCAAAAACTTGACAGCAAGTGAGAAAGCAATATTAAGGCTACAGTACGTTCAGCAGGCTATAAGACATTACAGAATTCATATACAGATACATGGTTTGAACGGATTTCAAAGACAATTTAAAAAATTCATTAAAATATTTATTTATTAACAATATATTTACACATTTTCCAGCTCTCAGTCAACCATGATGAATGTTCAAAGTTAAAAAACCAGTAAGCAGTAACCACAAGATGAAAACATTTTAAACTATACCTTATACACAATTTATACAAAGGAATACTTGTTTAAATAATACAACTGGACACAAAAATATACATTTTTAGAGAAATTCACATCAGTAACTGTATAAAGCTCTCTCTCCTGTACTAAGGTCCTGAAAATTTAGGACTAAAACATTAGCTCTGTAAAAGTAAAAAGTTACTAGCCAGTCTTGAAAGGCCACTATATAGCACACTGACATTTTCAAGGCTATCAGCTTATATTTCAGTTTGTGTATTCAAGTTTTGAGGTCCTTATGATTACGCAAACATCAGAAATTGTGGTATAAACTGTATCTGAGAAAGCAGAGTTTTAGAGCCAATATTAAAATCTTGTAGGCTCAAAAGACCCACTAATTTAAATACTAACTGATACTATCTTGTACTCCAAAAATTAGGAAGAATTAAAGTAATGCACTTACACACAAAACTTTTACTGTTCAGCAAGTGTGCTCACCACATGATTTTGTATTAGTATAAACTTAAAATAAAACCTCCCATACAGTGATTTTAAAATGAAACCAATTCACCTTTTCCTTACTTGAGTGCATTTACATTAAGGCTTTGTACTATCTGACCCAAAATTTTACAACATAAAATGAATGGGTCCACAAATATGCTAGTATGTCTCATTGAGACTTAGCATGAAGAGAATTAAAGCTTTACACCTTAAGGAAATGGACACAGGGACACATGCTGATACCTTGAATATGTTTTCCTTTTTGTCTCAGAACTAGGATGAAAAGGTTAATTATATTAATAGTATGAGACCAGTGCTTAGTTTGTTCTTTTTAAAAAGTTAATTTAATTGTAACATCTTTGGAGAAATTTCCAGTTCCTGTCTGTAGTTCCTACAAATTTCATGCAGAAAGATACGTTTCTTAACATTATCTTAAGAAATTACATTTTTTATGTAAATGGAATGTATATCCAGAACTGGAAACAAGACCTATGAAATATAAAAACGTTTTTCTGGATTTTGTTGTCATACATTTGTGTCTTGCAATAAAGGTTCTTTGGCCTCGCCAGGGGCCTGTGGACTGTGTGGATGACCATGACTGCCACTGTGTTTTTTCCAATTGCTGGACCGTGCATTTAGATTGGTGTGTTCAGGAATAAACAAGGCAACAAGCAAAGCCAGCAGCACAGAGCATGCTCCAAACAAGAAAGGGGGTCCAGGAATTATGGAGTTCTGAAAATAACAAAAACACTTATTTTCTAGAGGAACCGTTAAGTAAATCCATAGTTCACAGACACTGGTTGGTTCACGTCAGGCCCTGTACTTAAAAACAAACATATTTTACAATTTCATTAGTTTAAGGCACAATACTCTTAATGAGTGGGCTATTTCAATACCCAGCCCTAGTAAACCTTATTCATAGATGAATGACAGTCATTCTCAAAGGCTGAGGGAGGAAACCCAGAAGAGGAGAAACCTGTTAGATGAATTTCTCTTTGGGTGTTTTTTAAACTGCAGAATTCTCTCTTCTAACTTCACAGGAAACGTGCCACTGCCTAGTTGTCTTACCTGCCAGAAATATAGACTTATAGAATCATACAGCTGAACTGCTATTTCCAGCCATGTAATTAAAACTCACTGTAGCTACCAGATGAAGTATAGGGCTGGTCTTCACTGCCCTGTTAGCCTGAGGTATAACTCAAGCTTTGTCCCTAGCCCAGCTCCTTTGAAACACACACAAATCTCTAGCTTGCCAACCCATCAACATTAACAGCCACATTTAAACAGGAAAAGCCACGGTACTAACTACTATTTAAAAAGTTATCCAAGACTCTGAATTAAACAGAAAATACAAAAGCAGAAGACTACCTCCTTCACCCGTCTATATTCTGTGGTAGACATTACAATGGTGCAGTGTAGACACCATAAGAAGTCATTTAACTATACAAAAGGGACTATGATCTAACTCGCTCTGCTTATTTTCTGTCTCAGCCAGGATTTCATTCTATGGTTTTACTCTTTTCATTCATGCACTCATGTGATTAAGCATGAATACTTCAAGTAAATTGAGTAAACCAACCCCCCCTCTCCAGTCAAGTGTAAATAAAGGACAACAAGATCTTCAAGCTTTGTCTTTCATCACACCATCAAAAAGACTGGCTGACTTGTAGACTTATTTTGCAGCAGTAAATTTTAGATAATTTATTTTTTAAAAATAATAAGCTATAGCTGGAAGGACCAGAACTGGCACTCAATTGCTTCCAAGGAATGAAGAAGTGCAAAGGCTGGTATCTGACCATAATGGTAATTTCTGCCTCCTTTTAGGCAGACATATTGACAGGCCAGAACGTTTTCCAATGTCAGATAAAGAGGAGAAAGTGGCAAGGCCTGACAAGAAGCGTGCCACAAGGAAGTATGAAAAGAGCAAAGCATATTCAGCTTTTTAGTATCCAGTCTAAATCATGTGTTTTAAAATATTCAATAGACTTAAGATACAATTCTGGGCACAGTAGTACCAGAAAAAAATATTTACAAGTTGAAGAAAATTTAGAGAAAAGCAGCAGTTAACAGGCAAGAGAGACCAGCATACAAGGAAAGAATCAAGAGATGTGTAACTTGGTCAGAAGATGGAGAATAGGAAAGTGTTTAAAAACGTGAACCAACAGGGTTCTTTTTAGGGTGATCCAAAGGAGCAATGGGATTGATTAATCAATGGAAAATTTAGGCTCAATATCAAGAGGATTGTCTTAATTGCAAGAGTTATTAGACAGGTCAAGAGTCTCACAACAAAAGTGGATTGAGAAGTCCCTTTGCTTGATTCATTTAAAGCTGGACTGTCTAAAGCACTGTAGAATGTGTCACAGGGCAGCGAGATGAACTACAGTATCCAATTTATTCCCCCTCCGCCCCTTCCAAGGTGTAGGATAGAGGTTCTCAAACTGTGGTCCACGGACCACCAGTGGTCCGCAAGCTCCATTCAGGTGGTCCGAGGATAGTTCCCGCTAAGATGCGTGCCTGGGTGGCCGCACACAAGAGAATGAAGGGCCACCCACCTAATTAGTGGAGCCGCGCAGGCGTGACTCCACTAATTAGGTGCCTGGACCCTGGAGAAGATGCATATGTAAGGTGAGGTGGTGGCCTGGAGGGGGGAGGGGAGAATAGAGGGTAGGTGGGAGGTGGGAATTTGGGAACTCGGGGGCTGCTGCGGCGGGGGAGAGACCCCTCTCCATCCCAGCCCCAGCTCGGGGGGCTGCCGTGGTGGGAGAGAGAGGGCACATCCAATGCATTAGAAAGGTAAGACTACTGATATTAAAATGAGTTGTGTTTTTTAATATAGCACTTTTATCCAAAGTGCTTTACAATAGTTAGCTAATGGTTCGAACAACATTTGGAAAGATCATTAAGTGGTCTGCTGAGACCCTCAGCAATTTTCAAGTGGTCTGCGAAAAAAAAAAGTTTGAGAACCACTGGTCTAGGATTGATCTTTGCTGCATTTCTTGTAACTTATAAATAAATAGGAACAATACCTGTTCTGAATGGTGTTGTGTGGCCACGTTACCTCCCAATTCAGTTTCAGTCATTGGGAGTTCATTCAATTCTACATGGAATATGTAGAATATAAAACCATAAAGTGCTGGTCCCAAACCATTACACAATCCTCGAATTCCTGTTATCATCCCTTGAACAACACCTAAAGAAAAAGGCATTCCATGAAATTAGATGTGTATACAATGAAGACTATTTAAAATGCTTTTTGGCAATTGTCTAACATGCAATGGGGCCTGATTCACTTTTTCCCCATGCTGGTGTAAACTAGGAGTTACTTCACTAAAATCAATCGGGATACACCATTGTAAGACTGATGTGAGAGGAGAATCATGCCTACACCAGAACCAAAACAATGAGGAACATTGGGCAAGACAAACTTTATGTTTTAGTCAGAGCACAGCATTTCCTATGCCATACTGACCAAAACACTATTAAATCTGGTATGTTGTCTCTGACAGCTATCTATGTCTCATGCTTCAGAGAAAAGCAAAAACATATTACTGGGGGGCTCCTAGACACTACAGTAATAATAAATAAATGCCCCTGAAGAATTGAGTAAATCCATGCATAGTGGGAGAGAAGAAGAATTGAAACATGATCAGCTGATGTACTGAATCAAGAGAAGTAGTGATGTAGTATTATGCTACCTTCAATGCATGGGTTTTCCCTATGCTAGACACACTCATTATTCATCTGCCTTGTTTGAAGAGTATACCCCAGCTGCCTCCAAACAGTCCACAGGCCTTGAGAACTACCACTCTTCTACAGTGAAGTTAAAACTACACTAATGTTTCTCATTTACATTAACATACTATTATGTTGGCTAATTTGTCCTGCAAACTAGCATGGAGGTTAAGGATAAACCTTGAGTACCAGTAAGACAGCATTGATACATCTGGTGCTAAGGAGGTCAGAATATCCCTAGTTTGAACATTCCTTAAAATTAACAACAACAAGATATATAAAACATACCCTGTTGATCAGCATCAGCAGTTCGTGAAACTAGTGCACTTACTGCTGGGAACGTAATACTAGACATTGCTGCAACAGCCCCTGCTGCCCACATCATCCTGAAAAACATAAGTGTTAAGAGAAAGAATCAAGATAAGAATTCTGAATTTCTACCTTCCAAATACCTCTTATTACAAAGTTTAGAAAGAACTGCACACACTACGCAAGCAATAGAAAAGTCACAAGTTAATTATCATTGCTTGATTTCATACCTATCAATTATTCTGAATTTAACAAATGGTGTAAAATAATTTAAGAGATGATTAGAAAAGTCCCCAATCCTTGCAAAATTCTGACGCTTGCTGGAAAGCATTGATCATGTATTTTGTAAACTCTCCTCCCAAATTAAGAGGAGGTGAACATCCAAAAAGCGAACTTAACTTAGTTTTCCCCGTTAGGTCATTGGTATGTTAGCACGTGTAAAGGGTGCAATCATGGAAGTGTGGGGGGAGGGAGAAAGGAGTGCTACAATTGATGTAAACTGACATCTTGACAAGTCAATGCAGTCTACTACAAGTAACAAGACACCCCCCCCCAAAAAATTAAAAAAAAGAATTAAGAAAATATGACTGTTAGAGGAAAGAGGACAAAGCATTTTTCAATGTTGTTTGGTGTCCATTTCCTTTTAGATAAAAATATCCATGAACAATCTTTGGTCTTATGAAGATTATTGGCACAAGAGATTGACGTTGTTTAGGTCAATCATACAGTACAATACCAAATTCTTGGTTTGGTATGGTTCACCAGACAGTGTTTCTTTGACTGCACCAAGTATAAACCAATTACATCTTTAAAAAAAAAAAGGTTCCATCTTAAGAGGAGACAAAGGACACGTTGCCTATAACCGCTCATGTAAAACTGATGCATGTAAAAACACACACAAAAAAACCTTTGTGAATGTTTCTTTATTAAGTAGGAAGTAATTTAAAATCTTCGTATGTCAGTTCATTAATTCAACTAAAATGAAATGTACGTACCAAGGCTCCGAGCCAAAACCATACCATGCAAGCTGTAATATTTGAAATCCCAGACCCAGTAAGATGGTGTTTTTATTTCCAATGGACCGCATAAGTAAACTCAAAACTACTGTCTGATGGGAAAAAGAATGTCATATTTTAATTGTGAATACTCACGTTATACAGCAATATATATAAAATGTTCACTAGTTTTGACAGAAGCAAAATAAAGTTCTATGATGTAGTATTTTCTAGACAGACTGAAACGTGTAATAATGGAGAGAGATATGTGAAGAGATTGTTACCGTGCTCTTGATGTGCAACAATTTAGATTTTCCTTGAGGAATCCATACACTGGGAATATTATTTAACCTGCCCTGATGACTTAAACAAGCTATTTTTCAACCCAAACTAAGCTTAAGGAGAAGATTGAATCAACTTCTAAGAGGTTTGGGAGTGTGGCTAAGGAAGAAATAAATTAAGGTTAAGGCACTAGACCAGGGGTCGGCAACCTACGGCACGCGAGCCGATTTTGAGTGGCACACAGCTCCATGCTGCGGTCCCGGCCCCCAGCCCCACTCAGCCCCCCCGCCCACTGCTCTCCCCTGCGGGGGCAGCCAAGCTTCCCCCTTCCCCCGCTTCTTCCCCCAGCATGGTGCTTTCCTGCCCCTCTTCCTCTCCTTCCCTGCTCCAATCAGCTGATGGCCCTAGCGAGGGGGAGGGGGAAGAGCGCAGCATGCACACAGCTCCGTAGAGGACGCAGAGAGAGGTAGGGACGGAGCCTGGGGGAAGGGGGTGGAACAGGGCATATCCCTTCCAGCCCCCTGCCATGAGCCGCTCAGGGCAGGGGGCTAGGAGCACCCCAGCCTTCTGCCCTGCACCCCTCTGCCCTGAACCCCCCCAACACACCCCCAGCCTTCTGCCCTGCATCCCCCACACCCCAACACACACCCAGCCTTCTGGCCTGCATCCCCCCCACGCCCCCAGCCCTCTGCCCTGACCCTTGAACCCCCCCACACCCCAGCCCTCTGCCCTACACCCCCCCCACACCCCAGCCATCTGCCCTGATCCCTGAACCCCCTCCACACACACACACACACACCCCAGCCTTCTGCCCTGAACCCCCTCCCCCAGCCCTCTGCCCTGACCCCTGAAACACCCGCCCCTCCAGGTCTGGGGTCCCGGCCGCAGGCCCTGCTCAGTCCGCTGCCGGCCTAGGTGAACAGAACCCCAGGCTGGCAGCGAGCTGAGCAGGCTGGTGGCATAAGATCAGCATTTTAATTTAATTTTAAATGACGCTTCTTAAACATTTTGAAAACCTTGTTTACTTTACATACAATCGTTTAGTTATATAATATAGACTTATAGAAAGAGACCTTCTAAAAATGTTAAAATGTATTACCGGCACGCAAAACCTTAAATTAAAGTGAATAAATGAAGACTTGGCACACCATTTCTGAAAGGTTGCCGACCCCTGCACTAGACTACAATTCGTGATGTGCATTATATTCCAGCTCTGACAGATTTAAGGCAGTCTCAATGTCTGTGCATCACAGTTCTTTCACAAAATGGAGATATTTTTCTACTTCCCAGGATGTGAGAATGAATTGTTTATGAAATGGTCAGACATTAGGTGATGGGGAAAAAAAGGAAGCCATTTAAAATGAGATCAGAATTCAAAGCATCTCTTTCCTTTTCTATTCTAACCTTCTGAAACCAGATAGACTGAGTTCCTGGAATTACAGTTACAGGGATTGTCATAATATTTAGCTCTCACTTGAACCCATTATATTAGTGAAATTTATAGATCAATATTTACCTGTGCAATAATGGAGAGAATCCCAAGAACTGCTATAAAAGCTGCAACACTTTCAGGTGAAAATCCCATTATCTACATTAGAGAAGGAGAAATTTGATCATTAAACTTCAAATGTATATTGACACGTCTTTCATGTTTTGTGACATCAGTGGAAAGAATAAATGGAGTAACTAGAAAAACGCTTAATCTGAAATAGAAGAAGACATCCCTGATTTTCTTCAATCCCATAATCCATTGAAACCAACATTTACTCTTGCATAAAATAAAGAGAAAGAACTAGTGCGGAACAGAAAATAACTTCTATAATGGAATATGGAACTTGAAAGAAAAATTGACCCCATACTGTAAGAGACTAAAAATATTTTATCAGCTAACAAAAGCTAATTTTAACCACTGCAATGTAGTGGAACTTGTACTTCAAGGAATAATGCAAATGACTTTAAGAAACATGAGAAATATTTTGAGAACAGATTCATCTCTTTATTAACTATCAGAGTAACTAAAAGCCACTATCAACAGCCATTAATCATATTGACTACCCATATATTGCTAAAGTAATGTAACAAGTGCAAAGAATACTCCCTTCTAAAAATTTAGTTTTCCTTATCAGACATTTCTTCATATGCAGATTCTTACCTGTCTGAGGTATAGGAAGAAGCTGGAATATTGACCTGCCTCCGGGAGGTAGGAAAGAAAGACCGTTATGCAGATTAGCAGCACTATGGAATCTTGACCCACTTTCTTTAGTGACTAGGACAAAAAAAGACAGCTATAAGGTCAATAGAAAACATCTACTCTTCATCATTCATAAGCAATTATATACAAAATGGAACACTGAAAGAGGCAGATGCCCTTTAATACATACATCACTGTTAAAACATGTGCTTCAGCACATGCTAATCTGCATTTGCTAATCCCTGCTAAGCAGCAATTTGACGCTACTCACACCCTTCCCCAATAAACCTAGAAACTCCTCAAACAATTTTTTTTAAAACCCAAATCAGGGGATAATTACTATCAGTCCCATTCCTGACTCAAAAGCAGTACAAATCCAAATCTGCATATATCAAGCCACCACTCCATACTTAAACATTTAAATAGCTTACTGCAAAGGGATCAGCCTGTTCCCAAGAAATGGGTGCTCCCCATGATGCTGGCCTCATCTTCTCGGGCAGTGATTCCGGTACAGCAACAAGAATAAAACAAATATCCAACAAAGCTATAGCTGTAGCTAGGACCACTACCAAGCTGTTTCCATAGACTCGACCAAGGTAGGCACCAATAGCTGGGCTAGTAACTAAACTTGCTGCAAAAGTTGCTGAAACCTGTAACAGGCAAAAGTCAGTATGAGAATAAGTTTTCCAGTAAGGAAGATCAAACTTATCCAATCTTTTTTTCTGACTTCACTTTCAGCACCTTCACTTCCATAAACTTAGTTACAAATCACCCTAATCAGGTGGACAAGTTCTGAACTAACGTACAGCTCTTTTCTCTGGCACTGCAGCAGCAACCACAGATTTCAGACATCTGAAGTTTTTAACGAAAAAAAATGTGGTTAAGTGGGGCAGCACTGTATA